TCGCTCCATGTAAAAAGACCCTAAAATGAGGTATTTCTCGAATATTTTGACCCGTTTTAATTTTGGCCGTGTTTCGAGATCGCTCGTTGGCGAAGCTGTTTCTATTGTTTACCAACCAAACCCATGCGATGCCGCAGGGCGAGGTGTTGTCCAATGATTCTTTCAAATAATGGATTGGGTTGAGGCTTCTAGGCTACTTAAAACACAGCCTGCTTAAATTAGTATGTAAATAAATTCATACATGCGTATAGAATTCGAAAGCAGAAACGTCATGCAGGACTGCGGATAGAAGCACATCAGTAAAAATTCCGTTGGAAGCTGCATGTAAGAGATTGTTGATAAACTTATGTCTCCCTAATTTGTCAACCTAATTTTGGCATAGTCTATCAGCGCCGATCTTCCACTCGACAAATTATTTCTCAACTGGAAACTTCAAGTCCCATAGTTACACCCGAGGAAAACATTTATTGTGATTTGTATATTACTTTTTATTACGGTATAATTAATAGACAGATTCATTTTGGACTAATTCATTCATGTGAATAATTTCGATTCGGATAGCTAAATGAAACGTGTAAATTACATGTATGTTATTTACCGGCTGCGAGGTCCGGATGCAAAAAACTGTGCCGGAGGTCTCGAAAACGGCCCGAGGCCGTAGGCCGAGGGATGTTTTTGAGACCGAGGGCACAGTTTTTTGCATCCGGACCGAAGCTGCCGGTAAATAACGTGTTTTTTTTTAACATTGACTTTTTTGACTTTATAAAACACAAAAAAATACAACAAATTTAATGAATAAACTATAAAAATTTCAAATTCTGCAAGCCATTTTAGAATTTTAATCCGTCAACAACTCCTTATAAATATATCCTAGTCGGGAAACAGCCAATGAAATGGCAAATATTGTTACCATAGCAACTAAATCACGGCGAATCGATTAAAAAAATAGGTACGCAATGCGTACATGTGGGTAGCCTTTCGTATATCCGACGATTGCCGAAGATGTGGCACCCACAAACACACACAGATCCGGACACTTTTTCGACTACATAGTGGTTAGCCGCGCATGCGCAGGCTACCCACAAAAACAACGTATTGACAAGCGAAAAAAGGCGTAAAAATCCAAAAAAGAGAAGTTTTTCGGGTATGTTTTTTATTTTTAACATTCATTTAGCCTTTTCCGGAAAGGTTTTCACACATTTTAGCCGTACGTTGCTTTGGTTTTGTCGTTTTGCTTGCATTTTTCACAGCGGGCCAGATGCATTTTGCAGCGGGCCGGATGCAAAATTCCGGCCCGCTGTGAAACGCTTCTCTACAGAGTAAAAAAATAAAAAGAAATATTTTTCGTATTCTTTTGTAGTCATGATATAAACTTATTAAGTAAGGCTTATTGCAAATTTTGATGATGGCAAAAAAACAATGATGTCAATTATTTGAAATTATTTTGTTTTGTATTAAGCGCGGAAAATATTATTTCGGTATACGTACACCAGCCTCCAATGCACAATCGAACGTACAGTTTTTAGGTCCACCTCATTTAAGTAAAAGATATTGAGTTGTATGTGGGCTAAGAACCAAGTTTCATCTTCTAACCGATCTTCAAGAAAATACATTCAATTAAGTTGTTGTCGATTCAACATTTAAAAATATTATAAAAGCTCACCATCTGAATCACCAATGAACGGAATTTATCTCAAATGTTGTAATAATATACATGGCATAAATCATTTTCATAGAATGGGAATTGGACGAAGCCAACGTAAACCAATCATATTTGGCAACTGTAAAGAAGTTTTACAGATGGTTATAATGACTTTTTTGACTGCAAACGTCGTTTTTGGAGAAAAAGAGTCTAAGTTTTGTAAAAGAGGATGGTCTGAATTTGTTCAAGACAGAAAGCAATGGGAAAGAGAATGTTTAAATGACGATGATATCAAAATATCACAGTGTTGTAACGAGACATTTCACTATCTTGATGAAAGGTTTAATGACTACATAAAGTTGTGTCCCATTGTGGGTAAGTTATTTGTTGCAATTGTTATTGCTACTGTTCTTGTGATTAATTGGTCGATTAATTGATTGATCGATTGATTGATTGATCGCCTCTTCGAAATATTTCACAGCCACGGAAAAGCTTGCCAAGCTTTACCGGAAAATTTATTTTGGCTCTTTGTGTTTTAAATTTAACAAATAAACAACAAAAGGATTTACTAACCTATTATTATCTAAAACGTTCTTAATCATGATAGCATGAACGTTCATTGCATTCTTAGAATCTAGTTTGAATTTTTTTTTCATTAGAAGGCAAATGCACATGCGATGTTCTAGAGAAAAAAATTGACCGCTATACTTACCGTAACATGTCGGACCCAGTATCATGGATGAAACCAAATATTTCATGTCAACACAAGTTTCAACTCCGTCGTCTAAAAGTGGAGCCAGACGTAAGATCACCGCACAGTTTTCCTGTTGGTTTTAATAAAATCAAGAATATATTTCAACTGTATGGAGGGCGGGAGAAATCATGTGACGTTATGGTTTATGTTCGACCCTGTAAATATGAAGGCAAGTAGTTTATTTAATTTGATATTTTAAGAGAAGCCATCATAAAACATTGGGTGATTGCACCATAATTATAGACCTCACAGTAACATAAAATATAGCTCGAGTGCTTTGCGAAAGAAACATTGTCTTGCCCACGTGAATATTACTGCTGTTTGCAAGCTACCATGAGACGTGCTAAATTTTTCATGTTAGTTTACGTTTCAAAACTTCGGGTTTGACCGGAAATCGTTGACGTTTTTAAATAGACCAATCAACGTTTGACCTTGAAACGAACAACGTTTCGCAAGGCTTTACGAACACGTTTCGCCTTTTGGAATTTGGAGAGCACATAATACAGTAATATATTTGAGCAAAAAAATGAATATTCAAATAAAAATACTATACGGTCCTAGCTACGACAGATGTAAGACAACGATTATTTCTAAACATGCGTTCGCATCGATGACATTAGACGAATTATCAAATATGGTTTCTGGAGCAGTTGGTAGGTTTTTTGACGGAGAAGACAAGCTTCGTTTACAATATCGCGACGATGAAGGTACATACGTTACTATGAATAAACAGTCTGATATTAGCGATGCTGCTCAATCATCCTCGCCAATCCCTCAAAATGATGAACTTTTACGTGTCTGTATTCGAGTTGACAACGATTTTACGCCCACCAGTCATCACCGTGAGGCTCCTGCCAACAAACGCCAATGTAGCTCAAACGACTCTAAAAGAAAACTAAACTTTACGAAACCTCTTAGTACATCGCCTGATCCAGATCTCCTAGAACTGTTAGATATACAGAGTGAACCAAGAACCGGCAATAAGGAACTATTGTCATCCGATAAAGATTTTGTATTAACAGGAAGTTTGATAGTCCATTGGAAAGATTTGAAGAAAATGGAGTCCGACTTGGAAAGCAAAAAGTCAAGGCTTCGAGAACTCGAAACCGAAGACGAAAGTAACCCAAAAATAACATTTCTCTGGCAAGATCTAATATTGGCGATGGGAATATGTGCCGTAATTGTCATCTTCGGCTTGGCCACACAGCGCGTTGTTGTACGTATGGAAAATGCGAGTCAGTTTTTAGCTGCGGCGAGCAAAAATTGCACCCTGGCGAACTCAATACTAAACAATTGCGTTCCAACATACAAAAACTTAAACATGAAATCATTACTCTTGAGAGAAACATTGCACAACAACAAGATGCATCTAATGAAATAAAGAAAACACTTGCAAACAAAATAGAGGAAAGCCTCTTGCAGGAAGACGAAGATAAATACTTTAGCAATGGCCACAAAAATTGGTGTCTTTTACGGAGACATGTTTACCTCGTCGAAGATTATTGCAAAAAGAACTTCGGTGGTAAAATACCCCCGAAGCACAAGCTGTCAGAAATTTTGAGTACGATATTGAATCAAAAACCAGCAAGCGCAACATCAAGCTCTATGGTCATGAAACAAACAAAATCCAAAGGAAGTAATCCCACAAAGCCACTTCTCGAAACATACGGTGTTAATTTCCCGTCTGAACCGAGGTCTGAACGTTGCAGTTCGATTTTTCGAAGTGCACCAAGCAACGAAGACGAAGAACAAGAACAGCTTAGTATGGTAGTGAAGCAAAGTATGCTTGACACTAGTTCTAAATCTAAATCTTCATGCGAGCCCCATCCGACGGTCATTTATCAACCAGTTTACCCGCCATCTTTCGCACGCTTTCCCGCGTTACCCACTAATGTTTATAACCCTTTTGCACAAAATGCAGAACAATATTTGTCCAGCTATGCCCAATCTAGCACAGCTATACCCATGTCTTTTCCTGACGCTACTGCACAGATGCCAACAGCCGTACCTATGCTACCAATGGCAATGCATACGCAAACAAAGCCTGACGAAGACAAGGGCGAACCCCAAGTGCAGCCAGAACAGACGATTGAAAGGGATGATAACGAAACAGCCGAGCTATTGCTGTCCTTTAGTAAAAACTCTTTTACTGGTTATCAAGCGTAGCGACAAATGTACACAAGAAGTAGCTAAAACGTAATGTAATGTCTAATGAACTTGTTTTGTTTTGATTTAAAACATTCAGGGTTTTAATAGCATGGATGATAAAATCACAATAATAATCTCTTAACTATCCATGTTAATAGTTAATATAATTGCGTTGACGTTGTTTATTATGTTACTCACAAACTAGTTAAATTTAAATTTTTCATTACAGTATATTACATATTGTAATTAGTGTAACATGCACTTGAAATATATTTTATATATTATTTGGGTTCGTTGTCGATTTCAGATTAGTTTTCAATTTCGTTGACTACAAAAGTTAGAAACACAACTCTCTCACCAATTTTTCACGTTTGCACGTAGTTGACATAAAAGTTCACGAACTGAAGAAAACTAACTAATTTAGATTTTAGTAATTGTGAACTTGACAAGTAAGTTTCATTGTGGGAACATGTACGAAGTAGCCTGGTAGTAACCCACCATGTCTGTTGGGGTTATTGTTTCAACAGCATCCATGACGGCAAGTTTAAGGTTTTCATGTACAGTATCGGAAAATTCTCCGTTCAATTTCGTTTTTATCTTAGCGAAACATAGTTCAACAGGATTTAGGTCAGGGGAGTAAGTGGGGGTGAATATGAGCTCCACTCCCATTTCTTCAAGATATTCCTCCAAAATACGACCGCCGTCATAATGATGAATTCCCAAATTGTCCATAACAATGATATCTCCAACTTCAATGGCGGGACCTTCCGACATCAAGTTAGTAGCTTCGGAAGCTTCCGCAAAGAAATTAAGAAACTGAATAGTATTTGTTGGGCCCTCAACCAAATTAAAGTACATCGGTCCATCTAATGATACGAGTAAGTTTAAAGTAATGTTTGGGGATTCCATTTTTCTAATTACTTCGACGCATCGTTGTCCTAAAGGCGCGTGGCCGTAACGACGAGTGCCAATGTCTGGGGTTTTCACTCCTGATTCATCGAAAAACTTGATTTTTTTTGGATCTTTCGATGAGAGATAATTAACAAACAACTGTGTATATAACATGTTTTCCGGAGTGAAACGCTCTCTTGCAACATGTGTAATACGTTTTCGGGAGTAACTATGCCCTGACAAAAGTTTTCTTTTTATTGCTCGCGAAATTGAAGATAGAGAAATGTCGCCTCCAACGTCACCAAGTTCATCCAAAACGGAGTAAAGTTCTCGTAGGGAAATCGACCCTCGTATCTTCGTAAGAGTCTCGATTAATTCTAGATCTCCTGGTGTCAATTTGCTGCTAAAATCTCCACCGCGTTGAATGGGATCTTCTGAATTACTTTCGCAAAACCGTCGCCAAATTTTTGAAACTGAGTTTGGACTTAGTTTCAACTCGTGTGCGATAGCAGTAAACGAGGTTGAAAGAAACCCCGAAATCCTATCGCCTCCAGCAGCTAGACACCTATCAATAACAAGCCGCCTAAGGTCACCTTCTACAGCTTTTCCATTTCTATAGGATCTGCCATACTTGCTAACTTGATACATACCGAACAAAAAGAGGAAGTAGCCAAAGCAACTGTCAAACTAAAAACGCGAAACGTGTTCGTAAAGCCTTGCGAAACGTTGTTCGTTTCAAGGTCAAACGTTGATTGGTCTATTTAAAAACGTCAACGATTTCCGGTCAAACCCGAAGTTTTGAAACGTAAACAAACATAAAAAATTTAGCACGTCTCATGGTAGCTTGCAAACAGCAGTAAGAAACAGAACGTATGGAACACATTCAAGAGTTGAAAACCCCCCAGAAACTTAGATCTGAGTGGGATCGTTTAAAGTGTTTAGCGTAGCCACGCTTAGCTTGTTTGAATTAAGGCTGCTTTCCACTCAAGCGTTTTTCATACGCACGTCAAGTATATTAACTTTGAAATAAAGAAGTGAATAAATCGGAAGAATTTAAGTCCATGCTACACGGTACAACTTTCCTGACAGTTTGCCAAATTTACATCTCTCAAACGTAGATATGCATTGTAAGTTGCAAGAGAAATTGCACCGTGTAACAGCCATGTGTCATCCATCTATGTAATATATCTGCATTAAGTATAGCATGCTGTATAAAAAATCTAATTTTCAATGTAGTTTAGGCAGCGACATTATACACGTTTCCCACTTATTTAGAGTTTAAAGAAATGGTCAAGAACGTTGCTAACAGAAAAGGTATAGAACAACACTAGCTATTTATTATTGCCATCAGGAATATCGAACAGGGGGGAGCAATATAGCTGCCCACCCCACTTTTCTTCTTATCAACAAGGCCAAATGGGGCAAAAATGCCTTCCATTTCAAAGAATTACATTCTATAATAATTATCATAATGCAATTCTATATAATGTTATATGATAATGTTACAAATGCAACAAATGAACTTCAAGGACAGCACTCAGACAACGTGTCTATACCTGCCCGTGCTCCATCCATATTTTATACAGTACTTTGCATTTTAGCATCAGGATTGAAGTTTCGTTTGAATTAACGTTTAGAAGAGAAGTCTCCTCATTTAAACATGTTCCAGGAGTAAAATGTCCTTAAACTATCGAGGCCGGAAGGCACATTCGCATGCAATGTAGCTTAACATAACGTACATGCAGGTATAAAAAGGCGCACGTTATTCCCGGATGATGAACAAAAACATAACTAGAACGATATCTGGGGGGGGGGGGTGTTGCTCATTCATATATTCAGTTACACCCGTCGGATCTCTATCGTAAGCTATTCCATTTGCAAAAGAGATCCTTCGGACAAAATGACTATATGAGCCCCTTCATTTATTGTTCTAGTTTGGCAACTGTTGATAACAGCCTTGTTCGTCGGGCTTAGCCAAACGTAATGAACAACATGCTCTTTATAGAATAATTATTGCAAATTGTTTGTAGTTTTAGATTGCAAAAAAGATATTCTCGTTCTTTGGGACAATTATAATTTTGTTGGGTTAAATCCGCACGTGAAAAGATTTTTGAAGAATTTTATTAGAAATAAGAAACTGGGCGTTGAGGAACATGGAACCCATCTTGGTTTCATTAGTGTCTCAAGCTACAACACAGGAAGAGAATTATTGAAAGTCGGGGAGCTTAGGAATAAAACAGAATTGATAAAGTGGTTGGATAGTTTTGAAAATAACATTGATCCAAGCAGAAATACGACCATCATAAGAAAATCATATGAACTCGAGCACGTAACTGAAGTAAGTCAAACCCACTGGCAGAAGTACTCAGAAACTCCTGGAATATCTGTCATTTTTTCAATATTCTGTAATCAATTGTTGAAAGTTTAATTCCCTCTTCTACTGCATTTGCTTGCTTTTGGCCTAAAAACGGTCCAAATTAAATGTGAATTAGTAATCGTTTAAAGAAAATACTGAATCATCAAACATAGACTTTTATCAGTATACGATTACATTTTCACTGATTGTAGTCAACAATTAATTAAGGTTGAATAATTTTTGTTCGGAATGCCTGCTCGTTTCAGGCTCGCTCGCTCAATTAATGCAAGGAAGAGACTAAAAAATAATATAAACCGACAAATTCTCATCTTCAATTTAAGGTGTTCAACAACGGCAGTATCAACAAAACTTCCCGTCCTAACGCGGACGACGTCATTTTGTTGCTATTAGCGAGCTTAAGATCACGCGACGCGGAGTGACGACGCCGCCGACCGGAAGTAAATTTTTTCTATCGTGCCAACTGCGCATGCGCATATTTGGGAATTGGCGAGTTTTGTCTCGACGCCGCCGCGAGTTTTAACAATTTCACGGCGTCGTCAACAAAGGTGTTTTTACAAGGTTTTTCTGTGTATTGAGTGTATAATATGGCTGAAGAAACCATAAGCACCAAGTAAGTATACGGTCTTTTGTCTTTTCACGACCAAAACGCCAAATGTTAACAAATTATTGTATATAGTTTTGTCGTTTGCAAGGCTTTGCAATTTGCAAATAAATTTTTGCTTTATAATAATTTGTTTGTGTAATATTCTTTATCGTTATTTTTTATTGGTTTTGACATGTTCATATTTTCACATTTCTTGTATTTGAATTTAAAGGCCTATAAAAAGCACTATCATCATGTCGTGGACAGATGAAAAGGATGTAATTTTCTGCAGAGAGATTTTGGTGTCCAAGCTTTTTGTGACAAAGAAATCTTCGCCTGAAAGAGGGCAAGTCTGGAATGACATTGCAGACAGATTGTGTCAGCTACAGCAACCAAATTTCCGGGTGAATCAAAAATCGGTACGGGATCACTACAAGAAGTTAGTGGCAGGATACAAAAGAAAAATGCGAGATGAGTTAAATGCAAGTGGAATAAGTCCTGAACAAACTGAGATTGATATATTATTGGAAGAAATAGTGGAAAGAGAAGCAGCACAAGTGGCAGAGAAAGAAAATATTGATAATGAAAACAACAGGAGAATGGAAGCTGAAAAGGTGGCAGCAGATGATATTAGAAGGAAAGCCATGGAGACTTTGGCACAAACAAACAAGCGAAAAGCTGAAGAAAGCAATGAAACACCAAAGAAGAAAAGACGAAGCAGTGGCAGTGAAACAATCGCTTACTTGCAAGAGAAGACAGAGATTGAAATGGAGCTGAGAAAGGAAGAAATGGAGATTAAAAGAGCAGAAGTAGAATTGGAAAAAAACAAAATGGAGCAACAAATGAAGCAGCAAGCCACCTTATTTGAGCAGCAGGGTAATATGATGCAGGCAATGATGGAGCAGCAACAACAGCAACAACAACAAATGCAAGCCTTGCAAATGCTAGTTCTCCAACAACAACAGCAACAGAGTCAAGCATTGATTGCACTTCTTGATAAACTATCCAAGTAAGCTTGTAGTTTAAATTGTTAATAAAATATGGTATATGAAATACATATAATTAAATTAATCAAATTGAGAAAATGTTCAGAATTTATGTACAAATTGTTATTTATAAAAAAGTTATAATTAAATTACACTGTTTATATCTTTTTAATTTTTTAGTGTTAATACAAACTATGTACATTTCTTGAGAAGTGAAACATGTTACTTTACTTTATCCAGTCAGAGCTGAAATTTTTTCTTGTCATTTGACCACCATAAACTTATGAATATAAGTCCCATATGTATATTTGTTCATCAAAATATCCTTACAGAATAATACAAACCCAGGGCTGATATTCATTGGTTAAAGGCATCAAATTGGCCTGCAATTGCAAACAGTCTTTTAAAAGCTCCATGTTTCCACATACTATATTATAATTATATTCAAGAGAAATACTCTTGTAAAGATGGAGGGTTTAAATCAAAAAATTGTGAGGTCTCATTAGTATAAAGGCATGTTAATGCATTCCTTAAAAGAGCAGCAACTATATACATCTTGCCTACTTGGCTAAGACCAATTTTTAAATTCTTCTTGAAATCCATAAATTTGAAATAGTTAATAATATCTCCAAAGAGCCATTCTACAGACACACGCACTTTGCTCATACTCTCATTGTATGCTACCATTTCGGGTGTAAGCTGAACTTCTCTAAATGGAGCTTGTAGTTGCAATCGAAGGGGGTAGGCTGGATCACCATAGAGACACAAAGGCTCATTAGTAGGAGAGAAAGCCAGGTTTTCAAGGTCTTGTAATAAATTGGATTCAACAAGCATTCGTGAATCATGTCTTTTTCCTTCTATAGAAGAGTATCATAGTTTGAATGAGTAAAATGCACTACATTCTTAATTAACATAACACAGATATCCCTCCATTTTAGTAAAATTAAAGTTTAAAGTCTTCCCAAATCCTTTTGGAATTTTATAATATTTTGATTAATAATGGTGATAAACAAATTTTAAAAGCATGTGTCCTCCCCCACTGTCCAATATTCTCTCCCTCATAGTGAACACGCCCTTGTGTAATATTTGTTTATATTAAATCAAGTATTGCCTTACGTACCCACTGGACCATACAAATTAGCAATCATGCCATTTGGTACAACAACAGATTGGAACTTTAAACTGTGTACTCTTTTATGGCCATTAAAGACTTCTTTTTGGTGTTGTTTCGGGCGACAAATAGGCCGAACAGTCCCATCGACAAAGCCAAAACAATTTTGTAATGCAGCTCCTCTGGCAGCGATAGAATCAGCGTATCTTTGAAGATTTTGGGGACTTAATAATGTATGATTCCATTGACTTATTAAATGGCCATGTTCGTTAAAAATATAGTCGATAACAGTGTTGTAAACCATGCACAACTCAGGAACAGAAATACCGAACGTTGAAATCATGTCACTGTATCGACATGGGTATGTTAGCCTCTTCAACACGATGCACAAACCCGTCATTCCATCGCAGACCGACCCTTGCTGGCATCTAAAAACGTCGGGTATTCTCAGGACTTCGTGTAAGGAAGGTAGGTCATTTTTTTCGAAACGAAATTCAGCTTTGACTTCGGCTACATCTTTTTCCTTCAAATTAAACTTTGGGTAAATAGTCACCGGGAAGTCTGGATTTTTTGACTTGTTTGCATCCCACAACAACAAAAACTCCTCATCGTTAACAATATTTTCACCAAGTGCAATAGCGAGTTGTTGCCTAGTTTCCCTAAAGCTATACATCGCTGCAGTATGAATACAATGAAAATTAACGTATAAGAGCATCAAAGACAAAGGATAAATATTTTATAATCGTTTTTTTTTTATGGCGTGCTATAAGCGGCGGCGTCGTGTATCGAAATCGTATTTCTTAAGCTCTTTTTACTTGGCACGACGCCGTCACTTACAACTCGTTTTTTGGGGTCAAAGCGGCGGCGTCGTCACTCCGCGTCGCGTGATCTTAAGCTCGCTATTATTGAGCAATGGAACGGATGCTAGGGTGGAAAATCAAAGCAGATTTAAAGATGAGTTTATGACAACAATAAAGAAAAATGTCACTATTATTGCCCTGGTTGGAAGCATTGGAAACGAGATCAAAGACTTGAAACTTCACATCAAGCATTCGTCGTCACCACAGCTAGTGTTTGATTCAATTGTCTCGGACAATTTTGACAATATTGTGAATAAAATCGTTGATGCTTCGTGCACACATTCAGGTATGCAGATGATGTTAAAAGTTAAAAAATAAAAAAGCTACGAAGTCAGCGAATGAAAACTCGCTATAAACCGACTTTTTAAACCAAAATTTGTACCCGGTCATCATTTTAAAAACAGATGATAAGATATATGTTATTTACAGTGGATAAAAAAATATTTTCCCGCGGAGAATTAAAAAAAAAGTTCTATTATATATGTTTTACCCTGAGCTAACAAAAGGGGTCCATTGGCTTATTTTATTGTGTTCTGTTGTATTGTTCGTATAATTTATGAATATTGCCTCAAATGCCTCAATTGCTGAAGTACAATATATACCTTTTTACCTGATTACCTTTGCCTAAAAAATGTAAACAAATATGGCGATTAGTTTAAAACGAAATTCCTTCTTGTTCAAGTAACTCACGTGTTGCTAAATTATGGTTAGGTCCAAAATGCACGATTCTGATTGCCCATTTATGTCACTAGCAATGAGTAACAGCTTCTTTAAACAACCTGCCATTTTCCCTTTTTCTTAGGAGGATGTGGGTGCATAAGTGAACAGGAATTCATTGTATATACAAAACCAGGAGCCCTCACTGGATTGGTTAATTGGACAATACCCGAAGTCACGTGTTCTGATTACAAAAGGGGCCAGGTTGATCCACCTGATCTCACAACTCCTGCAAATTTCTCAGTGGGCAAGCACGTGATTACCTACCCGTACTCGTATAAACGTGGTGGCAAAATGGTTCAATTTAAATGTTTTGTCAACTTTACTGTTGTTCGTGAGTATTTAGCTGGTTTCATTTATTCACAACCGGGATTAGTAACGCAGATAAACTGGGCTAAGGTTAGGGCTGCTTTCCACTGTCGCGTTTTTTATACGCACGTACACGAATGTAAAAGTCTAAATCCTTATACATGTCTAAGGAACTTAGTTTTCCGCATATTTTAAAAAGTATTTGTTGACTCACGTGGTAAATAATAAAAATTTGGAAGCATTTAAACTTTTCCGTCCTTGAAAAATTAAACTCGACAGTGGAAAGCAGCCCTAAGAGGCAAGGAAACAACAATCCCTCAGTTAGATCAACTGTTTTTCTCACCTAATTCTAGGGTTAGAATTCTATCTTTCCCATCGAATTTGAAAATTTTAATCACGTATTAGTTGCATAATTACATACAAACAGATGATGACGGACGCTCGGCTACCATAGGGTGACTGCATGTTAAAAAAAGTTTGCCTTTTATATTCCAATTACCATGATTTCATTGGGCTCACCATGGTGTTACATCACACCATTAGAATTATAACACATGCAATTCCGAAAGAAAACAAGATTTATCTTTCATAAGGGAAACATGATTATGTTGCTTTATTCGAAGGAGAGGGAGAGTTGAAGGTTAATTTTTATTGACTTTCCGCTAAAGACGTATGGAATACCGATGTTTTCGCAAGAAACTCGTTTTGTTACTCATTGTTAAATATTTTTTCATATTTTTTCAGCTCAAAGTTAAAATTTAAAATATTTTATCCAATCATAAGCCATCAAAGCTACCTCAGAAAAATGACTTCGGGCGCTTTCCATTAAGCGGCCAAAATGGTCAGACCGGTCGTATTTTGAATTGAAACACAGAATTTCGTTAAAAATATAATATATGTAAATAACATTAAATCTGAATGCAGATTTCTTAAAACACTCTAAAATACCAGTAATCTGTCTGTACTCAAATACAACAGGACCAGTCTGGCTGTTTTTAACGTATGAAGGAAAGCGCGCTTAGAAGTTTGTACCGATCTGGGGTATTAAAAATAAACACCTCATTATGTCAGTTGCTATTTTGGTATACAGAATCCTTAGTTGTTTTCTTTTCTTCCTGCTTAAAAACGTTTTCCTTTTTTAGCCTGTGAATGTCCATGTCCGCAAACAGTAGAATATGTAGACTTTTGGGGAGGGGCCTTTGTCAGTTGGGTAGAACCTAAACCGAATTGCCCAACCATACAAAGTTCAGGTAATCCGATCACAACCAGTAGATATTTTGCTGTTGGAAATTACACACAGAGCTACAGCTACACGTACAGCAACGAGATTCAATCATTTGTTATTGAATGCCATGTAACAATTGTGGTAGTAACTAAAGGTAGGTTAATTGAATTTTAACTAACATAGTAACGCCGCTGTATTTATTATACTCTGAGCTGGTTAACCTGGGCTTCATCATTTAATTAATTCCCGAGCCGGTGCGGAGCACCGTGCGAGGGTACTAATTCCGCTCGAATATTTACACCCACGATGTTGCAAATGCGAAATCAAAGTCGTCCGCCATTATGCAATGGACCTCACGCTATGGACAGTCTCCTACGTTATGCGCATGCGCCAGTGTGAACTACTAAGCTCTTGATTGGTCCAGACAAAAATTTGTATTTTCAAACGTCAATGAATAACTGTCATTTAGCAAAATTTTGATGAAATTTACAAATTTATATTTTCATAAATATGGAATATACGTGTTTTTACTAAGTTAGAGGGAAACTCGAATGAGGTCAGGACTTTTCACGATTTAACAAATAACGAAAGACGAAATTTTCGACCGAATTCACCGTGTATAATGAAGTCGAAAGATTTTACACTTGATAATATTTCATCCGGCAAAGTACAACACACAACTTTAATATTCTCAAATGTATTTCACTATAAATCTGAATGTGTTATGTGATAAACATTATAATTTCATTTATGTAATTTATAAACTCCGTTTTCATAATGACAAAAAGAAAAGAAAATCAAAACATTCCCGTGCAAAAACCAGTCGAGGGGTAACGTAAAACTTCGAAAGTTGTATGAGACGTCTGATGTTATATTTCATGGCATTTAATAATTAAGATAATTTACACATAACACTGACTATAGATGAGTAACTTAACTTCCAGAAAAAGGTAAGAATCTTGTCGTATTTTTGCCATTTTTTCACAAAAATATGCGGGTTAACCATGAACTCAAAAGAACTGGAAGGCTACCTCCGGCCGGAGATTTGAAGCCAAATCTTAGGGTTATGCCCAGTCTTCACACAACTAAACACGCGGTTTTTTGAAACTTCAAAAAATGCAAGCACTAAAAACATCTTTTAGCATAAAGTGCATTTTCCACAGTATTTTTACGATAAAAACATCCGTGAAAACTACAGAGTAAAGTGTATTAAATTTATCTGCATCAAACTCGCAATTAAATTGCCCTTTTTTATGAAAAATGTTGAACGAGGAGTGAAGCCGTGTCAATTCAAAAGTGTTTGTGTGAATTCACTTATTTAATTTCATTGTATATCAATTTAATCCCTCTGAAACTTACAAAAAAACATTCTAACAATATTTATTTAACAACAAACTACAGTTAAATTTTATTTTTATATGTTTTATTAGCACATAACAACAATATATATATTTTTTGTTTTGTTGCCTGCAAACCTTTTTGAAGTAGTGATCGTTTTCGAACAAACTATTTACATTTTCCTTATAATTTCACCACGCCGCGGTTCAAGGTATGCTTTAATCAGCATTAATTACAAAATTATAGCTTAAATCGTTAAAATAAACGATAAATCCGAACGAATGTAACTTCGCCGCTACTGCAGTTCATGTTTTCCATCCAGCTGATCTAGGTATAAAAATCAACCAATCAGAAGCCAGATCTTCGACAAAACTGAATTATCATTTCCTTCATTGCAAAAGACTTCGACACTCGAAAATATCAAGTAATTTTATTATATTTATGTGAAAACACGTTTATTTTTGTCCCAACTGCAAATTAGAATTTAAATTTTTCACCCTTTATACTATTAGTTGGAAGAATAAGGAGGAAATGTTCACTCCTGAAAAGACCCTCGCGAGAATGTCTCGCAACATGTACACGCGTGTCTGGAGGTAAAAAACGCGTGTCTGGAGGTAAAATTTAACTTCAATAATTTTGGCTATTTTAATCAGGAGGTAGCCCTCCAGTTCTTTTGAGTTCAATGGGGTAAACCCATTGAACTGTAAACAAACTGGAATGATAACCTAGGGGGGGAAATTGAAGCCAGTGCTTTTTACTTTATCTGAGTTTTGAGCCGAAATACTCAACTCTTAATGTTGAGCCGTATATGAAATTAAAGCGATTAAAAAGTTATATTTCCTGTAGAAATTTCGAGACTTGAGCTTAAAGGGAAATATCTAAAAAATATTTGAAAATTTCCCGGTTTTTTGCCGATTTGTAATTGTTTTTGTTTTTTTTAAATATTTCCTTTGCAGTTTAAGTCTTGAAATTTCCACACCAAATGTAACTTTTCAATAGCTTTAATTTGACACACAGCCCAACGTGTGGCGTCAAGTATTTCGTCTCAAAACTCAGAAAAACTATTTTGGCTTCAAGCTAAGTAGGGATGTTTGTCAGGAATCATCGTTCCAGTTGTATAGAGTTCACTGGGTAAACCTAAAAATATACGGCCATTGCGAGTTGCTATGACTACAGTGTTTCCACGTGCAGAAAAATATTTCCATACTTTTCTCAATTTCTATTACCCTCCAAAACCCCCAACCCACATAAATTTTCTAACAATGACGTTACCATCCCTACGCTTAACTAATTTCGTTCAACCGAGGCGAGGGGTTGCTGCATACATGTATTTCTAGTTTAATCTGACTCACGCTGGAACCGCCACAGGTCGCTTACTAGTCCGTTGTCATAATTTCCAGATCTATCAATCCGGTTACAAGGGCCTTCAAGTTCAAATGGTTTTGGTCGTGTGGAAATATTCTATAACGGAATATGGGGAACAGTCTGTCACGACGAATGGGATATCAAGAATGCTCAAGTTGTGTGTCGTCAACTTGGTTATCAGAAAGCCCTTGCGGCCCTTCAGGGAAATCTTGTTCCTTCTGGTTCAGGGCAGATATGGTTAGACAATGTTCATTGTTCTGGGAATGAGCAAAATCTGGCCAGTTGTCTCCATAGAGGCTGGGGAGACCATGACTGTCGTCATTCTGATGATGCCGGAGTGAACTGCATTGGTAATCGGCATTTATATTTCTGCAACCAAATTTTATCAATCAGCTTCCTTCAATCTTCAGCCTTGTACCCAGGCGCTTTAGTAGAAAAACATATAACGTTGCGTTCAGCTACTATTTAGGCTCATAATCACCCAGCCTGAGGCTATAACTGGAAACAGCAAAACAACTACAGCTGTAGATTGTAAGTTTTAACCAGGCATAAACATTTCCTAGTAATTTTTTTTATGTTTATTGAAATATTCAGGAGTTTCAGATAAAAGTTGCGCACATTGGTACAAGTCTGGTAGGAGATCTGATGGAATTTACATCATAAATCCGGATGGTAAGAGTTTTTTTATGGTCTGGTGTGATATGACAACCAATGGAGGAGGATGGACGGTGATTCAGAGAAGGAAAGATGCAAGTGTGGATTTTTATCGTGGTTGGTCAGAGTATAAAACAGGATTTGGCACTCTCTCTGGGAATTTTTGGCTTGGTTTAGACAAAATACATCGTTTAACAGAATCTGGTCAAAACACAGCAGGAATTATACTAAAGTCTGGTGATGCGATAGCTTCTGTAAACTATTCGATGTTTTCTGTGAGTTCTGAATCTGAGGGTTATAAACTGAACGTTGGTGGATTTTCCACAGAGGGTAAATATACAGGTAGCTACTGTCCAGAAATAGGCCAATCTCAACTAGGCGGAATTTTTCGTCTGATATTCTTTTCAATTGTGAAAATTCGACCGTAGCGGATTCCCTTCACCGGTCAAAATTAAAAAGAAAATCGAAGAAAAAATTTCGTTCGGTCGAAAAATTCCGCCTAGTGGAAAACTGCCCTGACACTGCAGTTGCGGTTGCGATTCGGGTGCGGTCAACCGAATAGAAACCGCGGTTGACCGTTGCAGTTGCTGTTCGGTTCCTAACGAAGTTTTATGAACAGCTGAGATCGACAGCACAATAATCATATCGAAAAAATCTTAAGAAATGTCTGTCAGACCAAGTTAATATAAGCCGAGGTGTTAAACTTCCGTGTCACCACGGTTTGACCTCGGTCTGAGCTCGGTTCAACCGCGATCAGACCGAGATTTAACGTAGATTAACCATTATTTGTTAAGTTATTTTTGGACAGTACTGTAGTCAACCGGATTTTCGAGTCATTTTACAATTTTAGTGTGGATTCAACCCTGTGTAACTGAGTCTATTGCATGCATGGGTTCTTGCAATCATATAAAGTATCAAAAAACTGGTCAACTCTCTTTCGTGGCAAGTATTTTGTATTTTACTAGTAATGGCTAAAATGGAAGGCAAAAATTTAGGCTCAATTTTAATTTGCCAGCCATAATTGAGTAGATGATAAATCTTATCGTGATCTTAAAAAATCAGCCGTTTTATTATTATCGCATCCTCATTTTCAGGACCAACTATCAGGTTGCGGGGACCATTAAGATCAAGTGGTACAGGTCGTGTGGAAGTATTCCATAAGGGAAAATGGGGAACAATCTGTGACGATAGCTGGGATATTAAAGATGCTGAAGTTGTGTGTCGTCAACTTGGTTATCAAAAAGCTAACGAGGCCTTGCAAGGAAAGTATGTTCCTTCTGGCACTGGACCGATATGGTTAGACGACGTTCATTGCACTGGGAATGAACAAGAACTAACTAATTGTCCGTCTAAGAACTGGGGAATTCATAATTGTCAACATTCTGATGATGCTGGGGTAAATTGTTCCGAAAAAGGTGAATTTGATAATCCAACATTCCTTGCAACGAAATCATTGCAATTAGCTTTTTTCCGCTTGCGAACAGACTTCAGTTAAACCATGTCTCGTTGGTCAGTCAAAAATGAAATTTTAAATAATAACTCTCCTCTTTTGGAAATAAATTTTTGACATGGAACGTCTTGGTCAAAAGCTAGTTCAATGACAAAAGACTGAATGTTTAATTGTTTACGTACTGCAGTTTAATTATTACGTTAATAAAAGCTAGCATCTTCTTTTTAAAAGCATTTTAAATGAATCTTATTTAGGAATGCTAAAACAGATAAAATAGTAATTCTTAAATTTGCCCGGATTATTAAAGAATTATTTTGGTCTTTCGAATGATATTTTGCTCCTAAATTTACTCTATGTTGGTTTAGTGAACAGTTTGTAATAACTCACAGGATCATTACCATAATTTTAGATCAAACAGTGAGGCTGCAAGGGCCATTAAGTTTCATGCGTATTGGTCGTGTGGAGGTATTTCATAAGGGAAAATGGGGAACAATCTGTGACGACGAATGGGATATCAAGGATGCTCAAGTTGTGTGTCGTCAACTTGGTTACAAGAAAGCCCTTGCGGCCCATAAGGGAAATCTTGTTCCGTTTGGTTCAGGGCAGATATGGTTAGACAATATTCGTTGTTCTGGGAACGAGAAAAATCTGGCCAGTTGTTCCCATAGAGGCTGGGGAGTCCATGACTGTTATCATTTTGAAGATGCTGGAGTGAAATGTGCTCCAAAAGGTAAATTATCCAACGCTTACAATTTCATATCATGATATCCAAAACATTTAGCAAATCAGCCTCCTTCACGTTTTCACGTAAAATATTTTTAGTTTTTCTTAATGTCATCACAGAACAAACACGGATAACATAATGTTGCATGTTTTGGAAATAAATTGGAAGAAATTTTCGAAATCTTGGTCAGGAGATACGAGCGGTATTTTTCTGTCAAAGAAATATTTCCGCCGTTATTCGGATAGTCAATATAAGCGGCGACTGTTATGAGCCTAAAGTCCATAATTATAATTGGCCATAAGGAAAAAGATGGCGGGTTTACATTTAACCAGAATGCATTATGGTAGAAAATCGTAAAAAAGCAAATTGACGTCTTTTGAAGAGCGGTCATAAAAGAAGAGGTTTTTTTCCTCCTTGTGATAAATTTCCACGTCGTTAAATAAATATATATTTTCGTAATGGTATTGAGCGCTCTTCAACCTTTGTCAAGTTCTGTGAACTCTTTGTTACAATCAATTCTTTGTATATATGTATGTATGTATATATGTATATATATATATATATATATATATATATATATATATATATATATATATATATATAATATATATATATATATATATATATATATATATATATATACCCATTTGCAAAAACGTTGGCCGCAGATAGATAGATAGATAGATACTCGAAATCTAATTAGAATTGCATATGTTGTGTAATATGATTGAAATCCCATGCAAATCTAGTCATTTGCATTTCTAGTTAGACTTCGAGTATCTATCTATCTATCTGCGGCCAACGTTTTTGCAAATGGGTGTATATATATACATATATATATAAATATATATATATATATATATATATATATATATATATATATAAAAAAATATATATATATAAAAATATATATATATATGGTAATGGTTTATTTACACATTTTAAATAGCGATGACAGTCATTGTCAGTCACATGACAGGTATATCGATATACTTCATTTGGACAACATTAATGACAGCGGCTATATATATATATATATATATATATATATATACAGTAGGAGGCAAAAGTTTGAGTCCAGTGACTGTATTTCTTTGTTTCAGCAGCATATATTAATATTCTACAGAAAACCTTACCGATAAGTGAACTAGAAAAAAGTAAACAAGTAAACAGAAAAATACATGCTGTACAACAACTATGAGATGTTATGATATTCATTTTTACGTATTTTAATGTGCAAACATGCATTTACATGTCATTGCTTAGTTCCCTCTTTTTTGCTCTTGAAATGACCTTTATTCTTGCTCGCATAGATTCCATAGGTTTTTTAATGTCACACGTTCAATACCTTGCCAGCATTCGTTGACCACTTGCCTCAAGTCAGCCTGGCTGGCGGGTCTGTGCCTCGCCCTCTTCCGGTTAAAACGGTTCTACAAGTGCTCCATAGGTTTTAGATCTGGAATATGAGGTGGAAAGCCATGACAACGAGATCACCAGAATGAGTTTGCTTCTAAACGATTTCTGGCACATAGAAGATGTGCATGTGCTTAGGGTGATTATCATGTAGTTAGACGTGCGATCATCTTTGTACCAGATGAAATTCCATGTCCTTGAAGAATTGGATGATACTTTTCTTTAATTAGGATCCTATTATATCTTTCAATATTGCCAAACCGAGCATGACCAAAGCAGCTAAAAGTTTGCTTGAGTAGGATTTAGTTTCTTCGAACCTCTCCAAGGTTAGTTGCATACCACCTTTTTAAATTCTCACTTCTTCTGCGATCTTACGAGGAAAGAATCCTTCAATACTTAATGGAACTATTTGTCCTTGTGCACCATCACTTTGCCCTTTTTCCTACCCATCTTGGGCAGTGTAAAGGAATGAGAACTTTATTTTGTTATAATTTAGATCATTAGGACCAAAACAGTGTGCAATTAATATAGTTTACAGTACTGAAAAACTAGCACGCATGTCTTAACTCCAATACGCTGCCAGGATTTAATACTGGAATTCTACAACGACTGGACTCAAACTTTTGCCTCCTACTGTATATATATATATATATATATATATATATATATATATATATTATATATATATATATATATATATTATATATATATATAATATATATATATATATATATATATATGGTAATGGTTTATTTACACATTTTAAATAGCGATGACGCTAAATTACAATATGTTTACAATATAGCTATAAAAGATAAAAGGTTTTACTAATTATTTACAGCAATTATATATAAAAAACCTATATACATAACTATCCGTACATGAAAAATATTATAAAAATATGCTAACTAACTAATTTAGCGTTATATAAACTTATGGAATAGGCCAAAGGATTTTGTTTAAAACGTTCAGTTCTACAAAAGAAATTATATAATGTTTGGCTATTAGTTCTTGTTTCCTTTTGACTAACCTGTTCTACTTTCATTGGTAATAAGCTATGTAGTTTATGATTTGGATCCAGCATTTCCTTAATTAAGGATATGCATGATTCGTCCCTACGTCTTTGCAGGGTTTGCAAGTTCGTCTCGGCTATTACTTGCTTATAATCCTGATTTGGGTGTATTATCCTGAGTGCTCTTTTTTGAATACGTTCAATACTCTTCCTTTGTTCTTGTGTTAAACCTCCGTTCCAAATCTCTGCACCATATTCTAGCACAGGGCGGATTACAGAGCAGTAAAAGGATAACAAATCACCCGTAGGGGCTCCATAATTCTTTAAAACCTTTAGTAAATACAAACGCTTAGCCGCTTTTTTAATGATATATTCAGTATTTACTTTCCATTTAAGATCGTCACTTAACCATATCCCCAATAGCTTGTATGATTTTGTACGGGAGACGTTATGGCTACCAATAAGGATTGGGGCTATCGAGGTTACGTTTTTCCTGAAGTCAATTATCATCTCCATGCACTTTTTATCATTCAATTCCATTCCTTCGTCCGTTGCAAATTGTACCACTTTATCTACATTTTCCTGGGTATTACCGATTGGTTGATCATCTAGATGATCAATCACATTGATTACTTCCGATATTGTGGTGTCGTCCATAAACATCGCTGCATCCTGCTCTTCTACGGCATTCCGTGTTTGATCCTGATCATTCGATGCAATAGACGCTGGTAGTTGGTTTATTTTAATTATAAAAGCGATTGGACCCAACTTGCTTCCCTGTGGGACACCACCCTTAACTCTTTTACGGTCGGACTGCTCTCCTTGGAAGGACGTTACTTGTGATCTATTAGTTAGGTATGATGCAAACCAGCCAACCATGGCCGGACGAACGCCAATTTTAATGAAATTATCTAACAACAAGTTATGATCAATCAGATCATATGCCTTCCGGAAGTCAAGAAACATGATACGAACAATCTTTCCTGGGCTATCCATTGCTTTATACCATTTGTGTAACAAGTAAATCAACGCATGTATTGTCGACGTTCCAGGCAAACCTCCAAATTGACTACCACTGATCTTATCATGGACATCCTCGTAAATCCATTCAATAGCGTAGGATTCTTGTACCTTAGATAGAATACTCGTCAATGAGATAGGTCTTAAGAGATCCACCGCGACACAAGGTTTACTTTTTGGGATTCCACACACCTTTGAGATTTTCCAAATGTCTGGGAATATTCTGGAGGTAAATGACTCATTAAAAATGTAGCTTAACGGTTCAGCGAAATATTTCGCAAAAAGTTTTATTATCTTCACATTTGGGTCAAACAGACCACTTGCTTTATTCGGGTTAAGTTTACTTTTTTGCTACACTGTCTACAGTTACGTTCGGTAATTGCTCATCCGTTCCAAAATTAAGCCAATTATCATGTACTTCAGGGTAATTACTAGTAAGACTGGTAAAGTACTCGTTCATTAGATTAGCTGTATCTTTTGGATTTAGTGGGGTATCAGATTCTGGGTTACTTAGGACAAAATCCTGTTTATTCTTCCCAATAATGTTCTTAATATTATTCCACCACTGCTTCGAATTAGAACATCGAGCAGGTTTGATTTTCTCACTGTAATACTTTTGTTTCGCTTTCCGAATTTCTCTAACAATTTTATTACGAAGCGATTTATACTCGTCCATTCTCCCGCATCCATACATTTTATTTCTATTAGATATCATTTGTTTAATCCTCCCAGTCATAAAGGGCTTATCATCTTTATGGACCTTCACAGTTTTGGTTGGAAAACAGTTATCAATCATTGCATTAGTGATCGATAAAAAAGCGTTTACCTTGGTGTCAATACATGGAGCATCATAAACCGCTGACCACGTCTCTTGTCCGATACATTCTTCAAACGTAAACAACCTTGCTTCTTTGATGGGTCTTACTGTGATCTTTTTCACCTCATTTTTGCTTTGTTTATATATATATATATATATATATATATATATATATATATATATATATATATATATATATATATATATATATATATATACAGTCGTTATCATTAAGGTTGTCCATGTCAATATATATATACAAATATTTAAATATCAATCACGTGACCATTAAACATGGCTTATTTTGTTCACTTACCTCTTGTTTCTTTATTATTATTAATCTTGTTTACCTTAGTATGACATTTAAGAAATTTTCACGATACATTTCCAACGATTTCCCATAAAATTAACGTATGCAGTACAATCACGTGATCGATATTTAGGTATTTTTATATATTTCTAGGTGACAACCTTAATGAGAACGACTGTATATATATATATATAATATATATATATATACATATATATATATATATATATATATATATAATATATATATAATATATATATATATATATACACCATTTGCAAAAACGTTGGCCGCAGATAGATAGATAGATAGATACTCGAAGTCTAATTAGAATTGCATATGATTTTGCATGGGATTTCAATCATATTACACAACATATGCAATTCTAATTAGATTTCGAGTATCTATCAATCTATATCTATATATATATATATATATATATATATATATATATATATATATATATATATATATATATATATATATATTATATATATATATATATATATATATATAAATATATATATATATATATATATATATATAACATATATATATATATATATA